AATTCAGATTACAGAAATGCCCCCTGGTCTCACCTCACCCCAGGAGGGGAGGTAAGAGGAAAGATTCGGAAGATTGAGCACGAAGGGAAGTTCATTGTCAGGAGCTACAGTTTGGAAATGCAGGAAAGCAATCAAGAGCCATTGGCAAGGGTCAGCTGCCAGGCAGAAACAAAAGGAGGAAATTTAAAGATGAGAAACCAGGACAAGGGTGCCTGCAAGATATCCGGAACTTCGCTGAACGTGTTCAGCTCTTTACTGAGGACTCCTGCATCTCCTTGTCATGTCTCACCTTTCTCTGTTACAGCTAGATATCATGTATTAGTCATGTGGATAATGGAAAATCATTAAAATTTCACCCAAGAAAATACCTAAAGACATGAAGGCTAAAGGACAGACAGTTGAACAGGGAAAGAATCGTATCGGGGTCAAAAGAAGAAGGATCAGAGACTTCTGACTCAATCCATCAATTTTGTTAAATGGATTGAACAGCATTTAAATGTCAAAACTTGCCTTAGTGAAAAGACATGTCAAATCTGTGACAGCAAAGCTGTTCCTCTCTGTGACATCAGCTTTGTGCACTCTGCTGCCCATCATCAATTTTAAGTGAGACTAGCACTCAGCGGTCAATAACGAGAAGGGCCTTTGGCATGTGACCGTATTTTATATGATGTCATTTTTATTAAGTTATTGAAAGAACAATCTGTGCGTGCCTGGGACAGCGCCCACCCTGCAGTCAGTGAGCATCCATGCACTGCAAACCCCACGTCCCCGAGGATGCCGGCGGTTCGTCTCTGCAGGCACCCGCTTCGCCTGCCTAAGTGACAGCAACGCGCACCCCGGCTGAGAAAGGGCAGGAGAATGCCCACCGTGCATCCCACAGCCTGCCGTTGTTTGGATGCCGAGAGTAAAATAAACCCCCTAATTTTACAAAAGTAACCAAAAAGAAACAGCAACACGGCTATATAAAAAGACCCAAACCCCAATTTTTAAAACATTCTGGACATTGTAAATAGGGCATGGCACTGTCACAGACAAGATGGGGGTCTGGAAGGAAGGGAGATTTTATTTTCTCTGGGAAAAAATGCTCAGGAGCACAGCAACGCAGCAGCGAGCCAGCGTCTGGATCTGAGCAGGGCTCCTGCCGAGATGCCGCCTAGTCATGAAGGACAGAGCTGCCCACAGACACCTCTCAGGCAGCAGGTCCTGCTCTCTGGGAGGGAGCTTATCAAGCGACTGGCAGTGGTAGCAGCAAGCCCTGCAGCCCAACATGCACTGGAACAAGAGGCAGGAAGGAGACTGAAGGCAAACTGCAGCTTTGTGACTTAACTCTCCCACAGCACGCTTGCGCTTTGTGCTGGGGAGCTGTCATGAGAGTTGTACCCCCCATAACAACCCGGCTCTGCTCGATCCTGACAAGGTCCTCCCCTGGCAACACCTGAAACCAATCTCCTCTCTTCTTCACCAGCTCCAGCTCTGCCTCTCAGTCCTTTCCCTCATTGTCACTATTCTCTTCTTCTTCTTCTTCTTCTCTTTAGGGATTCCCTGCAGTGTCCCCCTCCCAGGTGTCACACCGCTTCCAAAGGCTATCTCTCTCGGTCCTCCTCTTCTTTACTCTTTTTACCAGCCAGAATGGAGCCGTTCTGTGCCTGGAGGCCCGAGCGCTGCCGGCACCGGCCCCGACACCTGAGGAAAGCAGCAACAATGAGCAAGGGCAGCGTCTCCTCCCGCACCAAACACCCGCACTTCGGGCACCAAAACCCCCGGTCGTCTCTGCGGAGGCGGCAGCAGCGCCCGCACGGAGCCCTGTGCCTCTGCCCTCGCCCCTCTGAGGAGCCCGGGCGCAGCCTGAGGGATCTCGCACCCACACGGAGCCTCGGACCCGCGGGAGGGACAGAA